GGGACCATAAAGCTCATCCAGGGACACCTTCCATTATCCCAGGTTGCTCCAAGCCCTGTCCAATCTGGCCTTGGGTACTTCCAGGGATGTGGCAGCCACAGCTTCTCTGCGCCAGGAACTCGCATCTTCTTAGTGTGAATGAGAATTTCTTCCTCATATCTAATCTAAACCTGCCCTCTATCAGTTTAAAATCACTGTTCTGTGTGCTGTCACTATCTGCCTGTGTAATAAGTCCCTCTCCTTCCTTTCCATAAGCTCCTTTAAGGTACTGGAAAGCCACAGCCTCCCCAAAACCTTATCTCCAGGCTGAACAACCCCAGCTCTCTCAGCCTTTGTAGAAGTGCTTCATACCTGACCCACCCATGAAAAATGGAGGATACTCTTGAATCTCTCACCCCCTGCTGCACATCATCTCTTCCATTGGCACCTCAGCACACACCCAGCCCAGCCTCCTTTCCCTAACTCAGACACATCCACCTCTCCAGAAAGAACCTCTATCCAGGGGTAACAAATCCCCACAGTTCCATGGAAACACACTAACACACAGACACGCTCCCTGCACCACCTTGCACGGATCACATCCTGGGCAGGTTGTGCCAGGTGTGTACTCAGCTGTTTATCAGCTCAAGCAGACACTTTGGCACCACCTTGCTCCTTTGTCTCCTACAATCCAGCTGCTCAGATAACAGGGATGCCCTTCACCATGAAACAGGAGCTGTTGCTGCTCTGGCAGTGCCAGAAGTTAATGGGGAACATGTTGGAAAGTGTATTCCTGTTTTGAACACCCTTGTTTATATCAAGGGACCATGTGAGAGTCTTGGTTACTTTTAACTTGAAAAGGGGAAGTTTCCAGTCCTGTGGTGACAGGCAAAAGCACAAAGCTCAGCAAAGCCTGAAATCCAGGCAGGCAAATATTAATAAAAGCTCAGCATGAGGAGAAAGAAGGAAGGAGCAAATAGCAATGCTAGGGTTCCCTTCCTGGACTTGGAAGCAGCTTGCCGGCATGAACTGAGCCATGAGACAGCTGTAGCACATCCAGGATATCATGTGATTGCTGCTGCCACTGGCCTGTGACACCTGCACAGGTATCATTCCAGGGACAGCACACAATGTAGGTAAAAGCTCAGGGAAAAGGGAACATCTGTAGCTTTCTGCAGGGAAATGCATCCTCCTGAAAAAAGCCTGTCAGAACTGAATCCAAGGCTACGCAGAGGCTGCAGAGCTTGGCTTTGGAGCTGTGGGGTGGAACTGAAGGGAGATGCTGGGAACTCATGCTGCCCTGGTGTGCCACTTGGCATCCTTCCCAGGTGGTGACCGTGGCTGTTTACAGCTTCTTCCTGGCCTGTCTGATTGGGAGGCAATTCCTGGATCCAGAGAAAGCATATCCTGGCCACGAGCTCGATCTCTTCGTGCCTGTGTTTACATTTTTGCAATTCTTCTTCTATGCTGGCTGGTTAAAGGTAAGTCCAAGAAAACATGGCTGAAGCCAGAATCTGACCCAGCCAAGGGTTTTTCCCAGTGTGAGCTCACCAGGAACCCTGCTGTGTTCTTTGATCTATGGGCAATAACAGGAAGCCAAGAGGGACTTAGGAAGTGCCAGGACTTTCTAATTTTCCAACTGTCTCATTCTAGACACCAGCTGCACTTTTCCTAGGCTTTGGTCCTTCCTAGAGGGGAAAAAAGGAACTCCTCCTTGCAGGAGAGTTGTGTGAGCAGGGGCAAGTTACTACAAATTCCAATATCTCCCAGCCCCTGGGATGCTTCCGCTTCTGACCTACCCCCTTTTGGGAAGAAAAACATGGTTTGGAATTCAAAGGACATCACACCTGACTTCTCCCTGCAGGGAAAAGGGCAGGGATGGCAATGGTAACCTTTGCTGTGTGCTCTCCATATGCAGGTGGCTGAGCAGCTCATTAACCCTTTTGGGGAGGACGACGATGACTTTGAAGCCAACTGGCTCATTGACAGGAACCTGCAGGTAAAGGGGAGAATCTTGCTCCCTCACCAGGAATTGGTGAGCCTCACCTGAAGAGGAATACCAAGGCAGGACAGTGACCAAGTTCTCCGGCAACACTTCTGCCTCCAATGGGAGAGATCATCCCAATCCACAGCAGGGAATTTGGGGCTTCTGGCATATCTTTGTACACAAAGGCTGCCTGCAGCTTCATCCACGCTCTGGCACATGGGATAGATCAGGGCTGCTTGTTACAGGCCTCAGCTGCCTTTGAATGATACATCATTCCCGCTCCTCCTTGCTTTCTTACCCTCTGTCCATCTAAAAGTGCCTCCTCTGCTTTCTGCTATGCAGTAACTTCCACCCTTCTGTCCTAGTGAGTCTGTTGCTTTCCTATCTCCTTAAGCACCATTTTCCTTCCAATTAATCAAATCTCTGTGTGAGAAACAACCCAAATGACAGGAAACCACAGCAACCCCAGCCACTTGCCTGGTTTCCATGATGCACCACCTCCTCCAGCTCTGTGTTCCTTTGTCCCTCAATAACAGGCACACAAAATGCTCCTCACCCTGTGTGTGACATTCCTCTTGACCCCCACAGGTCTCTCTCATGGCAGTGGATGAGATGCACCAGGATTTACCCATTCTGGAGAAGGACCTGTACTGGAACGAGCCTGATCCTCAGCCACCCTACACCGCAGCCACCGCCGAGTACAAGCGCCCATCCTTCCTGGGCTCCACTTTTGACATCAGGTGAGTGCAGGCACAAAGGGTCACAACACCTGGATCAGGTCTTATGTAAGACATTACACTTGAGGAGCTTTTAGGCTCATCCACAACCACCAACATTCTGCATGGAAAAGGATAAATCTAACCTCTTTTCCTCACTCACCTGTATGATGAGCACCCCTGCTTTGGGGGGCTAATAACAATACAGGGAGAGCCTTGCCACTGGCAAGCAGCATTCCCAGTGCTGCCACACTCTCCAGGAGATCCCTCCCCTCCCCTCCCTCTATGGCTGTGTAACAGTCCACTTCGCCTTTCCCAGCATGCAGAAGGAAGAGATGGAGTTCCAGCCCCTGGAGCAGATTAAAGAGAACGAGGAGGCCAACCACTCCACTCCCTTGCTGGGACACCTGAGCCGCCTCCTGGGTGTCCAGTCCCCGAACTTCTCCAGGTCCTCTTCCCGGATGAACCTGCTGCGCCGGCGAGGAGATCCCACGTCGCCCTTCTCCCATTATACCTACCAGGATATGGGGAAGGCCGGAAGCCCTTGTGGCATCAATCAGCCAAGGGGAGACTCCCAGGAGCAGTGGGACAGTGAAGATGGAAAACTAAGGGAGTTCGATGCTTTCATGTCCACCCCCTTTTACGAGAGGCCTGGGTTCTACAGCGCTCCACAGACGCCCATCAGCTCCATCCCCATGATTTTCCCTTCCCGACGCCAAGGGCGCAAGAAGCCACCAGCACTCTCCAGCATTGCTGCGTGCTCCACTTCCCTTCGGGATGTCATTGTCAGTGCCTCCCCTTCCAGGGCCAGCGACGTGGACAAGAGCCAGAGCTCCCTGGGCTCTGCTGCAAAGGAAACCTTTGTTTGGCCAACAGAGCGGAGCAAAGGTCCCGACTCGGTAGCTGTGACAGTAGAAGAAGGAAAGAGCAGCTCCAGGGAAGCTGCCACCATGGGAAGCCCTGGAGCACAGTCCACAGCATCCAACAGCCCCAAATTCCCCTTCCTGCCAGAGCCCCCTGAGCATGAAAAGCACGGCAGTTTCAAAAGCTTGAAGAGCTCCAAAGCCTCACACCCACCCTGGCTAAACCTGGAGAGCACGGCCTTGGCCACTCCCAATTCGGAGCATCCCAGTGCCTTTCACACCCCCAGTAACAAAACCCCTGGAGGCAGCACCGCCCTCTGCTTCTCCTTCACTCCTGTCACCTCTCCAGCACTGAAAAGGTCCCACAAGGGCAACCTAGGCCCTGAGGCTCTCAGCCTGAGTTTGGAAGATGCAGCCAGCGCTCCAGACCAGCATCCAGAGGTTTCCAGGAACATGAGAGATGCTGGGAATGGAAACACCAAACCCCCAGCTCCCAAAGAGCCCAGGAGAGCAGAGAGTCCATCCCCCAACGACTCCGGAATCTCCCTAGCTGAGGGTGACTATGTGGGGCTGATGGAGGTGATCCTGGAGGCCAGTGAAAGCCCAGGGGAGGAGCAAATGGACCAGTACAGCTAAAGGAGAATCCATGGATCCATGGGATACCTGCCTTATCCTGGCACTCACCCAAACAGAGGTGCTGGACACACAGCTGGAGCTCAGTCTGGGCTGAAAGCAGCACTAAGAACACACTGCTCCTGGCCTCAGCTACAGCAGCAGGCACAACTCATGTTGCAGTAAGAACAAAAGCAAAAAACCCAATCTGTAGCAAAAGAACAAGACTTGGAGTGTTAAATATTGCAGGTACCAGCCTGACCAGCCAGGTGTGCCCCAGAAGAGGAACACAGTTAATTGGATACTTCCTTCCTCCTCAAAGCAAGAATGAGAACTTGAGTCCTTTCTCAGGCAGAATTTGCACTCGTAACAAGATAGTCCAGGGAAAAGTAAGGGATTGAAGAAAGCCCCATCACTTGTGATGCAGACCCACAGTGCCTCTTCCAGTCCTGCCTGGCTGGTGTTTTTCAGTACTGGGAAAAAGCAAGGTAAGGGGCTTGCCAGCACAGGCAGCTGCAGCATCTGCCCAGCACATTGCTTCCTCCTGAAGTTCCACATCTCCCACCAGGAATTTGTCAGTGCTCAAGAGAAAGCTGGATGGCAGCAGACACCACTCAGCTGATTTTTACTGCCCACCCTCAGAAAATAAAAAGCAAGGCTCAAGCCCAGGAGCTTGGTTTTGTTTCCTCATTTAAGTTCCCTGAAAGAAATTTAAAGAAACCACAGAGATTTTCCTACTTCTGTCTTCAGCAGCAAATCCCCCATGTCAAACAACAAATTTACCTCCCACTGCATTCACTACAGCTGCCTATTCTTCCTCCAAACTAAACAGGAAAAGCCAGCTGGAACCAAGTCACTTTATTGGCCAGAGGGCAGTACATAAAACACAAACAGAACAGGGGATATTTGGTACAGAGTATGGAACTGTTTATCTAGGGAGCTGAAGCTGCATGCATGGCTGAACAGTAAGTAGGAGTCCCACTGAAACCCACAGCATGGCTCTTGGCAAGGCTTCAGCTGTGACAGTCCCCGAGGGTGTGCTTGTCGAAGAGATACTCTGCCATGCCGTACTTGGGGGCCCCCATCTTCCGCAGGTTGGTCACGTGGTCACCCAGCTCCTTGATGGCTTTCACCTGCTCATCCAGGTAATGGGTCTCAATGAAGTCACACAACTGAAAGGGAGACCAGAGGTTCAAATTCAGGCCTGAAACCCTACTGAGGCTCTCTAAGGGAAAGAGCAGATGCAGAATTTTCAAGCTGAGAGGAAGCAGCCTCTAGTTTTGCTGCAGAACAAGATCAAAGTCAGCCAGGCTTAGGTAGGCTCACATGCCCCAGAACCCTGTAGAGCCAGGCAGCTCAGGAAGCCTCTCCTCTTCCTCACAGCAGGAAGCATTAGCCAAGCCCCTGAACAGATCAGAGACACCCCCACTGCACAGCAAACTCACAGCAGTGGGGATTTATACCACTGGTTTTGTTTCAGAAAGTCCCTCTAACTTGGGCAGGACATTCCCAAGAGTGCTTGGACTTTCACACATATTAATCTCTTCCTGATATTAAGCAACCTCAATCCATCCTTGCCAAAAACTTCCATCTACAAAGAACTCCATGTTTTCAGATACTGTTCTGAAACACCAGGGCTTTTAATATTCTAAACCAACTCTGGAATTTTGTGGCAAAAAAAACCTTGTGACAAAAAGCCTTAAAAAGATGGAACTCAACCCCCTCAGAAATGGTCTCCATAGAGACTGTTCACAGACACCACAGAAGGAATAAAGCAGGTCCCTGTCACTTTAAAAATGCTCCTGGAAGGACAGCAGTAACTCCACCAAAGGACTCTGGAAGGGCTGCAACCCTGGTTCACACCTTTTTTCACCTTTAGCAACACCAGGCACACACAGCTCAGCCCCAAAGCTGCATCCTTGGCCAGCCATGCTGACCCCCAGCATGCACTTACATGTGGGTCGTTCTTCTCAGTTGCCAATTTGTGCAGCTCTAGCAGTGATTGGTTCACGTTTTTCTCCAGGTGCAGGGCACACTCCATGGCAGTCAGGCCATTCTCCCAGTCATCACGGTCTGGCTTCTGCAAGGGGAAAGCACAGGCAATGCTTTCTGTAAGAACCCACAGACCAGCAGGGTGCAGAGCTTTAGATCACTCTCAAAGCCTGTTTAGATCAAGTTTAGGCATTTATGCAAAGTCAAAAGTTTGAAGAGCACCCTCAGAACAGAACTGATCAAACCCTTGAAGTCCCACTTCTCAAAACAGTGCATAGAGCACATCTGCTCTGTGTTAAATTTAACGATGGTGATGAACCAGTTGCCTTCTGGTTCTGCCCTCATCCCACAGCAAACAACAAGGGGCTCAGCACCCTCTCCTTACACTTTTTGATTAGTCAATCAGCACATATAATCAAATTGCTCCACATCTCAAACTGCTGTGCCTCCCCAGTGTCAGCTGCTGCTCCTTCTGGGGAGGACCCAGAGGAAAATTCATCCCCTCCCAGCTGGGGCCAGCCCCGAGCTCACCTTGACATCCTGCAAGAAGATGCGCCCACCCCTCTGGTTCTGCAGCTTCATCAGCTTCTCAGCATGCTCCCGCTCCTCGTGGGACTGGTGCAGGAAGTACTTGGCAAAGTTTTTCAGGGCCACATCATCCCGGTCAAAATAGTAGGACTGAAAAATAAAGAGTTCACAGGCTCTAAACCTCTGCTCCAGGATGGCTACAGTCCAAGGCCAGGCCAGAAAGGCAGTGTGGAACAACTCTCCCCAAAGTATCATTCGATTTTTCCAGTTAGCATTAAATTTTAACCTGTACCTCTACCAAGGGCACAAATAAATGGTGTTTGTGTCCTTGGCTCAGCTCTAAAAACACAAAAAAACCCTGAACCTCCACAGACACCTGTTCTGAGCACCATTAAACAGCGGCCTTGAAAGGCCTTTTTCAAGGAGAAATCTTCCCTTTGTTTGCCTGAGCTTGTTTACAATGATCACATTGCAAGTCAGGGTCATGACTTGCAACATCAGGTAAGGGTGAGCCAAGAACTTTAGGTACTCCTGCAATAAAACTCTTGCTTCACTAGGCTTTCCAGGGATTAGAATAAGGAATACACTTTCTACTTTTTTTGCAGGAGCGAAAAAAAGTCACATTTAAAATACAAGAGATAAATTGAGCTACAATATGAATTCAACTGCAACTAAAATATGAATTAAATTACTTTTCTGAAAACAAAGAAAACCGCCCTGTAACAGCAGTCAAAAGCCGTGACACAGCTTGTTTATTCCTTGGTTAGAGCCATTACCAGGATTCAATGCAAAGTTCTGTATGAACTGCCAATTATTTACCGACCTACTCCAGAACTCTGCTCTTAGACCAGCGACCTGGAGGCTCGAGGCAAAGCACCGGTGCTTGTGTACCACTGCCACCCACCAAAAGAAGCTCAAAAAAGGGCTCAGAACCAAACTAACACAGAAGAGAACCTATAAAATACGTGCCACAACTCAGCACAGAGCCACTGGGAAGTCTCAGTGTCCCAGCACGCCCAAAGCCCCAGGATTGCTGCACAGAGGTCAGGGAACAGCTATAACAGGCGCCTCAGGCCATAGGAGACGTGTAAACACAGGGCCCGAGAAAACCACAGATTCCTACCGATTCCTGGAGGAAAACCCGAGCCTGGGAGGCAAGCACGCCTGCGGGAAAGGCGCCAGGAGCCTCGTTAGGCACCTCCCGCTACCCAGCCCGGCCCCAAGGGCAGAGGCGCTGAGCGCGGCTGATAACGGAGCCGCCAAGGGCAACGGCCCCGCGGAGCAGGCGAGATAAAAGGGCCTCACCTACACCCAGGGGACGGCCCAGACGGGCCTGGAGGCAGCGGGGGGAGGAGGAGGTGGAGAAAAAGGAGGAGGAGGAGCCGGGCCCGCAGGCACCGCCCGGCGCCCAGGAACCCCCCGCCGAGCAAGGCCCTCATGCAGCCCCTTTATCTCACGTAGGACCCTTCCCTCACGCCGCCGCGCCCGCGGCTCTCACCATGCTGAGGTACACGTAGGACGCGTAGAGCTCCAGGTTGATCTGGCGGTTGACGGCGGCTTCGCAGTCCTGGTGGTAGTTCTGGCGCACCTGAGACGGGGGCGCTGCCATGGCTGGGGTGCTCCGGTGACTGTGCAGACGGCGGTGTGAGGGAGGGGTGGCGGCGGGCCCGAGCGCGGCCGGTTCCGTCCAAGCACTGTTGACGCAGGAACCCGCTTCGCTCCGCCGCCGACGCGCTGTGAGGGCAGCCCGCCCGCCGCCGCGCCTTTTATACGGCCGCGAGCCAGGCCACGCCCCCGCGGGGGCGCGCGGCGTCCCGGCGCGCCTCTGCTGGCCCGGCGTGACTCAGCACCCGCCCAGGCCACGCCCACCGCGGGGCGGGGCCGCCGCGCGCCGCCGTTTCCCGCCGCGCGCCGCCGTTTCCCGCCGCGCGCGCGCGCCGCCGTTTCCCGGAATGGCCGGCGCTGGGAAACCCCCGGAAAATCACCAAATCCGGCCATTCCCCCTCCGCCACGCTGCCGAGCCCGCCCGTGTCCCACATCTCCCTCCCTCCGCGCACGGGGGCTCCGCCGCTGCCCCGGGCGGTGGGTGCCAATGCCTGAGCGCCCTCTCCGTGAGAGGGAAAAAGTTCCCAAAGTCCAATTTAAAGCCAGAAATTAAGGCCAAATGTCAAAAGCCGAACGTGTTGGTAATGGGATGACTATTTCAGCTGCTTTTAGTGCTGTCCCAGTCACTCGGTGTGTGCCGTCATTTATTCTCAATAAACATCAGGTTCTTCAGTCATTCAGTTCAGTCATTAATTTTCAATAAGCACTGAAGTCTCTTAGTATCTGCTTTCTTAAATTTTAACCAGATTACAAGGGACTAGAAAATGCTTAAACTGAGATCATCCCATAGCACTGAATCCCCAGTCTTGGCTTTTCCCAAGCCCACATTTAACCCTGTTTTTTCCCAAGCCAATGTTCCTGCTGAAATCCACCAGAAATAGAATTTACTCAACCTGTAAACTCAGAATAAATAATTTTTCCTCTACCTACTGCGCCTACAAACTCAGATTAAATATTTTTTCCTATATGTACTCAGACCATAAACTCAGATTAAATAATTGTTTTTCTCTCACCAGTTTTTTTACACATTTTTATCCGGTCTTTGACCCTTCCCAGCACTGTGGGATGTCCCATGCGTGACTGCACCAGTGCCTGTGTGTGGGTAAAGGGTACCAGAGCATTTTTCCAGACACTCCAAATGCCCTGGAGGGAACAGGGAGCCTCGGCCTCCCTTTGTTTCAGGGTTTTCTGCTGCTCCTGTCGGTTAACCATCACAAGTAATTAAGATCTATAAGTTAACA